CAGCCCCAGGGAGGGGCAGCCCAGGAAGGCCTTTGAAACAGGACCGGGGCTGGGAGGGAAGGGAGGAAGGCAGAGGGAGGCATGTCTGTTAGTATGCACGGTGCAGCAGCAGCAGCAGCAGCAATTGTCCTTGGATTTTCTGTGTCTCCACAGACACAGTGGACAGACATCTTCAGCCTAGCTTGGCTACTCCAGAGCCTTGGTGCAAGAGTTATGCTTGGTTCATAACCCACTATCGAACCCTCCTTCTCTGTGCCTCACTTGCTTCTCCCATAGCTTGAGGGACTCTGATTTGATCCTCACCAAGTTTCCTTCCTCCACAACATTATTGGATTCAGGACTCGAAAGATTTGACAGTGCCATCCCTTAACCCACCAACCAGCCTCCACGCCCTAGAGCACAGGGACAGACAGAAGATGTCTGGGACCAGAACAGGCAGGGAGGCATTCAAGAAATTGATTGTCAGGAGAGACCAGGCATGGACTAGAAGGAGCTGGTGTGCCCGCAGCGGACCCCTTCGTTCTGAGATCCTAGAATTGGTGCTGGGGAAACAGACAGGGAAATGTTTACCGGGTGTGGGGCTGGGCAGGGTGTTTTTATTAACTGGGGTGGAAATATGTCACTGTTTTGACAACCTGTGTGACTGTCAGGCAACCTGCTGTCAGTCAACCTGCTTAGGGGGAAGGAAGGTCAAAGAAGGCTGTGAGGCCCTGTGAGTCTGTGTCTAGTAATTTCTACCATTGGAAACATTCCTTTCCTTGGAGTGGGGCTGGCCCAGGCAACCTTGCCCTCAGGCCTGGCCTGTCACTCATAGGGACCCTCCTGACTAGGAATAGAGTAAAAGGAAAGGGCGGCTTCCTCTCCCCTCTCTTTTCCAAGCCGCACCATTGGCCCTGTGGTCTGCTTAGGGTGGGATCTTGCCTAGCATCTGCCAACCACAGGCCAGGTGGCCTCAGCTCCTGGTTCCTCATGGTCAGCTGGCTTAGTCCTGGTCTACCTGAGCCCTAGAGGAGAGGTTTTTCCATCCTGTTCCTGCCCAGCCCCATGGAGGACAACTCTGTGGAGGGTTGAAGGTGTGGCTGCAGGAGCAGGTGCCGTTTCTGGACAGCTGATGGGGGGGGGGCAGTGCTCTTAATTCTTGGTTTAGGGCCCCTGCTTCCCTATGCAGCAATTTCGGTTTCTATTTTAAACAGTTTAGGTTGGTTGCTTCCCTGCTTTCCTGCTGGGTGTTTATAGTGAGGAAAATAATTGGTAATATTTGCACAGATGTGCTGGCTCTGCAGCTCATCACGGGCACCTTTACTCAGGGGGCCCTCCCTGCCCCCAACCTCTCCGCCAGCTTGAAGAGGGGAGGAACTGAAGCCCCCCCCATCCCACAGGCCTCCCAGCAGCCTGAGGCAGGGAAGTGCAGGCAGAGCTGGCAAGCAGGCTGCCTCCAGTGCCCCAGGCATGCCAGAGGCAGGCCTCATCCAGAAAGGGAGAGCCTGTGCTCTTAAGGGCGGCTAGGACAAGCTCAGGCTCCATAGGATGGGCCCTTTCTAGTGGGTAGCAGCGGGGTCAGAAAGCCTTTAGGGTCCTGTTTCAGCCTCTGTTTTCTCATGTAGAACCTGAGTTTGTAGCTGAAGTTAGTGACTGAGGTAAAAGCGTGGGGAGAGGTTAACAGTAGTAAACCAAGTTAAGGGAGGTGGTATGAGCCTGTAGTCCAAGCTCCTCGGGAGGCTGAAGCAGGAGGATCATTTAAGTCCACATATCATAGGCCATCTTGGCTGATACAACAAGATCCCATCTCAAAAGAAACATCAAAAAAGGAAGTGAAGGCTAGGGATGTAGTTCAGTGGTAGAGGGTTTTCCTAGAATGTTTGAGGCCTGGGATTTACTCACAGCATCACACTCACCAAACCCTTACTTCTTTGCCAAGTATGGTGGCTCATGCTTATAATTCCAGCACTTGAAAGAAGGCAGGAGGATTGTAAGTTCTGGACCTGCCTTGGATACTTAGAGAGACAGAAGCAAAAAACAAAAAAAATGACAAAATAAAGAAAATCATGGGGCTTCTCTTCCTTCTTCCCAAGGACTGAAAGGGAGGTGGGAAGTGTCAGTGTCTAGTCCAAGCAGGGGCTGGCCGGGAGGACATGCCGCCCAGATCCCATTCCCAGGTAAGGGCAGTGGGTGAGGCTTCAGAGTGGGCAAAGCTGAGTAGGAGTCCTTCTCTACCCCTAACACTCAAGTGTTCAAGGTGAGTATGGGCATGCAGGTGCTTGCAGCACGCAGCCAGCAGGTTAGCACTATGAGCTGGCCACTTCACCCAAAGTCGCTTCTCTCCTCTCCTCTCTCTCTGTTTCTCTCTCTCTTTCAGTGCCAATACTAGGGCTTGAACTCATGGCCTAGCTTTTCCGTTCAAAGCTGGTATCCTACCACTTGAGTCAAGGCTCTACTTCTTGGTTTTTGAATAGTTAATTAGAGATAAGAATCTCATGGACTTTTCCTGTTTGGGCTGCTTTTGAACCATGATCCTCAGATCTCAACTTCCTGAGTAGCTAGGATTATAGGCATGAGCTACCAGTGCCTGCCTCCATATGTTCCCTTAGCCCACATCCAATGACTGATCAAGGAGAGGGTAGAAAAGTTGGGCCTTCACCCATTCTTGGATCAATACTGAAGGGCATCTAGCACTACCACAGGTTGGACCAGATTGTCATTCTAGACTAGAGCACAGCCTGATCTCTCCCTCTGCTCAGATCTCCCTTTTCCTCCCTCCTCTTGCCTCCTCCACCAACAGATCTTGTGAGTTCACCTCTGTCCCATGAGCTTCCTTGCCACGCATCATGTGTGGGCAGATGTGCAGTGTTATGTCTTACAAGTAGATGCATATAGGATGTAAGTGTACATAATCCACTTCCTCAGAACTCTCCACACACAGCCCCTTTGTTGATCCTGGTAGGCTCCCAGAGGCCCCAGAATGAGAGGAGATGAGAACCGGAAATGAGGGATTTTGAATTGAAGCTAGAGCCTGAGGCAGGTAGAGATGGCTCCGTCTTTACACTACCTACAAGCATCTGCTGGGATGGTAGATACAAGGGGCCAAGAATGGACGAAAGGGGAGTAAGGCTCATTGGCCTGCTATATCCTGTGTCTATCTTTGGTAGCTTCAGGCAGCTCTGTGGAGCTTCAGTCACCCTGGCCCCCATCCCTTCCTCCCTGATGGCATCTAGCAGGGATTTTCTTCCAGGCTCAATCCTGCCTTGCTTTGTGTAAAGTCAAATGCAAGCCATCAGCCTATATCCAGGCTACTCCATGTAGGGGAGTCCTGTGGCAGTGCTGGCTTCTGGTTTCCCTCCCTTTTAAGCCCATATGTCAGCTTGTCCACAGCAGGTCTGATCTGCAGGTGCAGATTGAGAAATGGAGGCCAGCACTGGAAAATAACAGAACACAGGCAATGTTGAGGACAGGTAAGGACAGCAAGAGGCCCAGAAGGCACCAGTACAGAAAAGTTTATTACCAGGATAAATAAATACATAAGGAGGACATTAAAACTGCCAAGGATGCAGGGAGTGGGGAGCTGGGCGATGCCTGAGGTATGGGGGGGGGAGGGTGTGGACAGGGAAGGTCAGTAGGGGAACCATCATCCCATGTGAGCTCAAGGTGGGGCACAGAAATGGCTAGGGTCCCCAAATCGTGCACAGTGGGGTCCAATTGCTTGAACCTCCCCTCATTCCCAACATACTGCCACTCTACTTGCCTGGTACTCCTTAGTGGCTGGGGGAGTCGAGAGCGGCCATGAGTGGAGCTATCAGCGAAGGCCCAAAGCTGGCCAGGGATCCAGCATCAACCCCTCCTCAGAGATGGGAAAACATTGCTGGTCTCTCTGTGAGAGACAGGCTCAATCTTCCTTACAGAGTGCTCAGAAATGGCTGCCGTTTGGCAGCTTAGATGTTCTAGAAGAATCCAACCAGCTTAGAAATCCCCATGGGAGGCCCGAGACACATCCCTGTCCACCAGTGGCAGGACTTATATAGGAACAAACTTAATTGGATTCCACTCATTTTTCTAAACCTTGCGCAGGGGACACCTCCTCTAGGAAGCCCTTCTGAGCTCTGCTGGCTGCTCAGTAGCCCACATCTGCTCTAACCTCTCTTTCATCTCTATCCTGGACTTCCCAGGCTCTCTCCTGGCTGCTTTTCCTAAAGGGCCGAAGCTACAGTCTGGGACTTAGTGGCTGGGGTGACAGTGTTCTTTCTCGATTTCTTTCCACTCAGGATTCTCCCTCAGCAGAGCCCAGAAAGGGAGTGATTAAAGGGGGTAGAGTGAGGAGGCCCTGCAGTCCAGTAGGATTGTGTTTCAGTGCCCTCCAGCCTTTCTGTCATCCAATCTGCCCTTTACCTCACACAGGGAGCTCTAGGCACCTACCCTCTGTGCAGAGTTTACACCAGAGACTCCTTCTCTCTCAGGACCAACAGGGCCATGGTATGCAGTGCTCAGACTGAGGAAGAAACTGGGTTCCCACATACTTCCTTCCTGATTGGTGGATCTGAGCATCATGGATCCAGAGAGGAGAGTTGAGGTTGGGAGTGGATATTGCTCAGACTGTCCCCAGGTGAAGACCCTGGCAGGCTGGAAGAACTAGATCTGGTCCTCTGTGCCCCAAGTAATCCTTTTCCTTCCTCAAACCTCCTGCTCTTTCTCTGTAGGGAGGTTGGCATGTAGAGGATGGGCTGCCAGCAGGGTAAGAGAACCTCTAGGGAATGGGCAGAGTAGGCCAGGCTAGGCCCTGCCTGCTGGGCAGCCCTAGCTCTACTGTTTGCCATCTGCACCTGGGTTTAGAGTGCTGTCCCAGCCTGCTCTGGGACTGGAAGCAGTGGGTGAGAAGTGGAGGTCACACTCCCTCAACAAGCTACTCCTGCAGGTTCTCTCCTGGGCCAGGGCTCTCAGAGTCCACAGCCCCAAGCCCCTCTTCTGTGCCCAGGTAGGTCGAGGAGTCAGGAGGTGGGTCCTACTGGCCACTAGCCGTGGCCATTCTGGGACATGTAAGCTGCCAGAGCCACCACCACGGCTACATAGAGACCAGCCCCCACAGCGATGGACAGAGTGGCCAAGAAGAGGGCCCGGCGGGAGGTGGTGCTGGCCAGGCGGAAGTCCCCTTTGGAGATGGCCTTGCTGGTCTAAGGAGAGAGAGGATGGATAAAGTCCCACCCCAGGAAAACAGCCCAGCCCACCATGTCCCTGAGCCCATCTTGCAGATGGGTGCCAAACCCTAAAGCAGAGGGATCATAGCTGGAGAAACAGCCCGGGTGCACTTACCCCCTGGGAGAAGTAGAAGGCAGCAATGCCCAGTGGCCAGAAGCAGCAGAGCATGGAGAAGAGGGTGAGCCCAAGGTGGTCCCTGGGAGGCAGCGTGAGGAAGTTGTCTTCACTTTCGCTCTCCGTCGAGATTGCATCACTCTGCAAACCAGGGGAGTTTAGTGCCCACGTCCAGGGTTACCCCAGCCCTGTCAGACTGGCAAGAGTTAAGAAACAACAACAATAAAAGATAACCAGGAGTGATGGTGCATACTTGTAATCTCAACACTTGGGGAGGGGCGGGGGCAAGAGGATTCTGAGTTCAAGGCCAGCTTGAGCTAGTGAGACTTTATTTTGTCTCATAAAACAAAGCAAACAAAAGTAATACGAACTGGTCTAGAGTGCCTGCTCTGCTGGTGGTGAGAATGGTAGGTTAGTTGTCCTTCTACCTAAAGCCTTTAGAACAATGACCTGATGAGTCTACTTTTTTATTTATTTATTTTGCCAGTTGTGGGGCCTGAACTCTGGGCCTGGGCGCTATCCCTCAGCCCTTCAGCTCAAGGCTAGTGTTCTACCACTTGAGCCACAGCGCCACTCCTGGCTTTTTCTGCTTATGTGGTGCTGAGGAATCAAACCCAGGGCCTCATGCATGCAAGGCAAGCACTCTACCACTGAGCCACCTTCCCAGCCCCCTGATGTCTACTTTTAAGAAATTATCATCAGGAAAGAATGCAAGTCTCTATATGCAGGGCTGTTCATTCTAGGAAGTAATTGTGGCAGATTAGAAACAGTCTTAGTGGGCTCTGGAGATGGCTCAAGTGGCAGAACACTTACCTAGCAAGTTCAAACCCTAGTGTCATATATATATATGAAAGAGAGAGAGAGGGAGAGAGAGAGAGCGCAACATTTGGGGTTAGGGATTTAGCTCAGTGGAAGAGCACTTGCCTGGTAAGTGCAAGGCCCTGAGTTTGTTCCTCAGCTGTGCCAAAAAAAAAAAAAAAAAAAAAAAACTAAAAAGATGGGCACCAGTGGCTCACACCTGTAATCCTAGCTATTCAAGAGGCTGAGATCTGAGGATCACAGTTTAAAGCCAGCCCAGGCAGGAAAGTCCCCATGAAATTTTTATCTCTAATTAATCACTCAAAAAACTGGAAGTGGAGCTGTGTCTCAAAGGGGTACAGTGCTAGCCTTGAGCAAAAGAGCCCAGGCCCTGAGTTCAAGCCCCATGACTTAAAAAAAAAAAAAGCAATACTTCCAGTGCTCAATAGCTAGGAGCTTGTGTAATAAAGGAAAAGAATTCACAATGGAAGACCATGTAACTTTATAAATCCCCATGTAGAATATATTAAATTACATGAAGTAATATTGAAATTCGATGATATAACTATGTACCCCAAGACTTCTTTGGGGGGTCAAAGAGACTTAGATGATCATTTACCAAAGCAATAACATTATCTTTGAGTAGTAAATAATTGCTGTTTATCATTTGGATTGATAAATGGTTAATCAAAACTAGTGTTCTCTTCCTCCTCTTCCTCTTCCCTTCCTTCTCCCTCCTCCCTCCTCCCTTCCTTTCTCCCTTGGCCTTTTTCAAGACAGGGTCTCCCTGCCTTGAATTTGCTGTGTAGCCCAAGCTGGCCTCAAACTCTTTATTCTCCTGCCTCAGCCTCCTCAGTGTTGAGATCACAACCATGCACTATCACACTGGGCTCCAAGCTTAAGTTTCTCAATGTGTGGGCTGTATGTATATCAGAACTTTTCCTTTGGTGGTTCCAGTCAAGTATTTTTTGTTTTGTTTTGTTTTTCCCTCTCAGTCCTGGGGCTTGAACTCAGGGCCTGAGCACTGTCTCTGAGCTTCTTTTTGCTCAAAGCTAGCACTCTACCACTTGAGCCACAGTGCCACGTCTGGCTTTTTCTGTGTGGTACTGAGGAATTGAACCCAGGGCCTCATGCCTGCTAAGCAAGCACGACCACTGAGCCACATTTCCAGCCCCCAATCAATCTTTCTTAAATCTCACTACCTGGTGTATGTGTGGGGGTTGGCGGGGGGGGGGGCTGGGGTTTTGCATTTATTACACATGCTCACCTCCTCCTCTTCCTGGGTGTCCTCCTGGGCCTGCAGCTCTTCTTGAACTCCGTAGGATACAGTCTGGATGGTGACATCCTCTTCAGCTTGGCCGAGTTCTGTGCTCTGGTTTGGGGGTCCCACCTGGGGTTCGCTGGCCTCTGTGAAGCTGGTCTCACAGCTGCCTGCCCTGGGCTCCTTGACCTTGTCCCTCCCTAGGAGGCAGCTGGGCCTGTACCAGGCCGCCACTGCCAGCTGCAGGGATCCTGGGTCCAGGAGCTGGTGGGGACGAGTGGGGCCAGCACGGCCAAGGAGGTAGGAGTAGAGCTTCTCCTGGCAGGACCAGCTGGTCGGAGCCTCTGGGTAGCGATAGGGGCTGTGGAGATGGGCGGGGCTCCTGGATAGCAGTGGGTTTTGCAATTCACTCAGGCTCTCCATGGTTCAGGCTGCCACTGGGGAAGGGAATCCTCACAGAGCCTATGAGAGAGCAAGACAGATACTGACACCAGGACACGGAGCATATGACAGGAAGTGCTACAAGAAAGCAAGTTCCAGCTAGGTGCTGGTGGTCCATGCCTGTCACCAGGTGGCTGAGACCTGAGGATCATGATCCAAAACTAGCCCAAGTAGTAAGATCCATGAAACTCCTATCTCTAATTAATCACCAAAAAGCTGGAAGTGGAGCTGTAGCTCAAAGTGGTATAGTGCTGGCCTTGAACAGAAAAGCTTAGGGAAACCCTCGGACATCATCCTTACAAAAAATAAAATAAAATAAAATGCTTAGGGACAGTACCCAGGCCCTGAGTTCAAGCCCTAGATCTGGAAAGAAAGAACGAGGAAGAAAGAGGGGGGGAGGGCTGGGAAGGTGGCTCAATGGTAGAGCGCGTGCTTTGCATGCATGAGGCCCTGGGTTCGATTCCTCAGCACCACATAAGCAAAAAGAAAAAAGCCAGAAGTCAGAAGTGGTGCTGTGGCTCAAGTGGTAGAATGCTAGTCTTGAGCTGAAGAACTGAGGGACAGTGCCCAGGCCCAGAGTTCAGGCCCCATGACCGGACCCTCCCCCCCCACCCAAAAAAAAAAGAGGAAGGAAGGAAGAAAGAAGGAAGGAAGGAAGGAAGGAAGGAAGGAAGGAAGGAAGGATGGAAGGAAGGAAGGAAGGAAGGAAGGAAAAAGAATATAAGCCAGGAACCAGTGGCTCACGCCTGTAATCCTAGCTACTCAGGGGGCTGAGATCTGAGGATTGTGGTTCAACACCAGCCTTTGCATGAACGTTCATGAGACTCTTATCTCCAATTAACCACTCCAATTAAACACTGGCACTGTGTCTCAAGTGGTAGAGTGCTTGCCTTGAGCTGAAGAACTCAGGGATAGCTCCCAGGCCCAGAGTTCAAGCCCCACAACTGATGAAAAAGAGAGAGAGAGAGAGAAAAGAATACATTTCCATCCAGAAGGAGAAGTACAGGAGTATACACAGGGCTAAAACTGCAGAAAAGGCTTTTGAATGAAGATGTGAAGAAGGAGCAAAACTAACAATGCAGTAACCGGGATTTAGAATGTTCCCTAATGTCCACATGCTCAAGGCTTCACACTCAGCTTGGGCTGTTGGTTGGTGGTGGATATGTTTAAGGGGTAGAGCTAGAGTTGGGAGCATGGCTCAAGTGGTAGAGCACTTAGTAAGTGTGAGGCCCTGACAGCAAACCAAACCCAGCATATATAAAAAAGAGGTAGGACCTAGTGGGAGATTTTAGGTCATTAAGGTCTTGCTTTGGAAGTATACTACAGGATGCTGGTGTCTTCCTCTCTGTTTTTCTTCTTGGCCACTATAAGCATAGGTAGAAAGCAACATAGACTGAAATCTCTAAAACTGTGAGTCAAAATAAATTTTTCCTTTTTTTTTCTTCAGTGAAAACATCCCTATCCCACTGACAGTTCTTTTTGCTTTATTTTTCAGAAAGGGTCTTTTTGTTCAGAATCAGCCTCTATCCATGATCTACCTACTTATACCCTCTGTGGATAGCTGGAATCACAGACATTCATTACCATGCCCAGCTTAAATCTTTCCTCTTTTTAAGTTGATCATTTTAGGTATTTTGTTACAGTAACAGAAAGCTGACTAACACAGATGGGGGACACATATCATGCTGGGGGAAGAATTCATGTAAAGATCCTGTGGCTGGACAAAAAAAAATTGGCAAGGATGAAAGCCTGGGAGTCAGATTATAAAGGACAGCATGAGATGGTGTTTGTGAGTCAGATTCTGTGGGTCTCTGTGGTTTAAGGAGGCTCCAGGCATGTCAGCAGGAGTAGGTTTGAGTTTGGTTGTGAAGCCTTTCTCATGTCTATGTGTACTCAGTGGATTGGAGTAGGCTAGGCTTATTGTAACGAAGAGGTTTTGCTGCAGGTTCAGGTAAGCTGAGGATAAATGGAACTCAATTGTTGGTGGAGAGAGAGGAAAGGAGGTGGGCCTTACGAAATGCTGACAGGATTTGATGGTCTGTGTGATTTAGGGTTGAGGCAGAATTTGTTCTGGGGTTGAATGGGACATATAGGAGACTTCCTGTGTTAGCTTAGTACATGGTCCATGCTCACAGCTGCCAATTCTTTTTTTTTTTTTTTTGGGTCCGGTCATGGGGCCTGAACTCTGGGCCTGAGCGCTGTCCTTCAGCTCTTCAGCTCAAGGCTAGTGTTCTACTACTTGAGCCACAGCGCCACTTCCGGCTTTATTCTTTTTGCTTATGTGGTGCTGAGGAATCGAACCCAGGGCCTCATGCATGCAAGGCAAGCGCTCTACCACTGAGCCAACTTCCCAGCCCCACAGCTGCCAATTCTTCCCAGGGTAAATACAGCCTTAGGGAGATGTACCTTAGGCTAATTTCCCTTTTGTCACAAGGCAGATTGCAACCTTGGGAAGTTCCTGAAGGTTCTTAGCAAGGACTTCCTAGGTACTGAGGTCTGGACCCACATATGCTAGCCAGAAGTACAGACACATGCCAGGGCTGCCTTCCCTCCTTTAGCCTACCAGAACACCAGCAGGATACCTGGGAACACTAGTTACAATGAACACACACTCTCTGGGGTGTGACAAGTGGAAATAGGTGTGAAGAAAGAGGAGAGGCAAGCCCGTTGGGCTCAGGGACTCTCCCTTTCCTCCTCCAGCTCCCTTGGAAACTGGATGGTGATCATTGTGCCACCTGGCACTTCTAGCTGAAGACTGGGAGTCAGCCCTGTCCTGGATGCCTCCAGTGCATCTGCATGCACTTCCGCGTTTCCTCATTCACAAAGTGTGGATGAAGATCCGTGCCCACCCCACAAGGCTGGTTTTAGGATCCAAAGGCGTGGCTGAGGTGCTGGTGCATTGTGGGTAAGTGGGAGAGGCTGCTGTTCTTATTTCTGGGCTGCAGAGCTTGTCTTCACCCATTTAGGGTTGTACTGGCCTCCCAGTAGGCTAAGGACAGAGGGAAAGCATGGGAGAGATTTCTGCTCCCAGGGCTGAGTTTATCTGGTCCCATCCCCAGTCCTCACCCTATCACAGCCAACACCTGGAAAAAGGGCATTTTAATTCTGTTTCAAGAGACAAGACTGGAACCTAGAAAGCTGCTCCTGAGAAACTTGAAAATAGCGTGGTTCTCTCCCAGGTAGGGACAGAGAGGAAATGAGCAGAAGAGAGAGGGCCCAGAACAACTGGAGGAGTCGGGGGGTGGGGGGGAACTGGTGGCTCACACCATTAATCCTACATACTCAGGAAACTGAGATCTGAGGATCATGGTTTAAAGACAACCTTGAATAGGAACTCCATGAGACTCTCCAATTAACCGCCAAAAAAGCCAGAAATAAAGCTGGCAGAGCACCAGCCTTGAGCAAAAAAGCTAAGAGACAAAGCCCAAGCCTTAAATTCTAGCCCCAGAATTGGTACATACGTATTCTCACATACACACAAAGATTGGAGGGGGCTCTTGTAAGGTGGCGGGGCAGGAGGGGGGGCAGGCAGAGTGGGGCTGTTACTTGATTGGAGGCAAAAGAACAAGAAGAGGCTGCTCTGGCTCTGAGCTCTGAGCCCTGAGAGCAGATGCTCCCAAGCAGGCCTCTCTCTTCTTGTCCCAAAGACCCAGGGTCTCACTTGAACACAATGGCAAAATGGAAAGCTTCTTGAATGCTTAACCATCAGAAAGAAGTTCAATAAATTATGGCACGAAATCTAGTGGTACAAGGCCTTTGAACAGTGTTTTATTGCAGTGTTGGTGAGAAGGAAGAAAAGAAAAGGTCTGGGCGTGGCGTGGCAGCCATGATTAGGCCCAGCCTTGGCAGCCCAGGTGTTTTTCATTTTCTTCTTTATACCTTCTCCTTCCTTTTTCCACATTGATTTTTTTAAAAAGAGCATACACTACTTTTAAACAGCAAGAAAAAAAGAAGTTAAGTGCATTGATTTCTTCTGAACCAAATGATCTAAAATCAGTTTGAAATCTCTCCGAGCTCTAGGTTCCTTTTGGGCTTAGTGGCTGAGCGTGTTATTAAAGCTGCGCCTGCCCACACTCACCCCACACCTCCACTGCCAGCACCCTGGCAAGAGTGATGGCTCCTCCCCTCCTCAAATACTAAAGCCATGCAGGAGTTCATGGTCAGATTCCAGGAACCCAATTTCAAGTCCTGGTCAGGAATGGAGGACAGTTGACCTCCAGAACTAGCCTTCTCTGCCTTCTAGCCTGTTGTTTGAGTCTGCCTCTCCTTACCCTGAACTGGTCAACTTACATTCAAGACAGAGCCATTCTTTTTTTTTTGTTGGGGGGGGTGTCATGGGTCTTGAACTCAAGGCCTGGGCACTGTCCCTGGGCTCTTTTTGTTCAAGGCTAGCACTTTACCACTGTGAGCCACAGCACCACTTCTGGTTTTCAGGTGGTTAATTGGAGACAAAAGTCTCACAGACTTTCCTGCCTGGGCTGGCTTTGAACTGTGATCCTCAGATCTCAGCCTCCAGAGTAGCTAGGATTACAGGCGTGCGCCGTCAGCACCCAGCTAAGGCAGAGCCATTCCTATGGCCACTTTAACTGTGTGATCTCACATGGGCTGTGTGTGCTTTCTAGACTGGTGTTGACGAGGTGCACCAGCACTGGTGAGTGTGCCTGTGTCTGTGCATTCACGTGTATGTGCATTTATATGTATGTATGTGTGTCCTCTGCTCTGGAGGACAGACAGCGCTGGGGATTCTGTTTTGTTTTGTTTTTTTTTTTTTGGGTCCAGACGTGGGGCCTGAACTCTAGGCTTGGATGCTGTCCCTCAGCTCTTCAGCTCAAGGCTAGCGCTCTACCACTTGAGCCACAGCGCCACTTCCGGCTTTTTTCTTTTTGCTTATGTGGTGCTGAGGAATCGAACCCAGGGCCTCAGGCATTGCAAGGCAAGCGCTCTACCACTGAGCCACCTTCCCAGCCCGCGCTGGGGATGCT